TCCCGGAGTTACAATCACTAGTATATTAAACAATCTTGGCTTGCGAAGATTCACCGCTAATCTTCAGTACCATCTGTAAAGTAAAAAAACGATTACACGAGGATTGGGTTAAAAGTTATCGTCAAAAATGGACAAGCTTGTGCAAATTATAATATTACATGTAACAGTATCACAGACATGTATTATTAGGGAATATTCTTTTAATTGATTTTTCTGTATTGAAAACATTGCTGATTTTTATCAGTCTTGATGATGATGATGATGACGACGACGACAACGACGATGATGATGTTTAAAGTGTGTTTCATTTAATAGATTTTTTATTCTAAACTTCTTTCGTCGCTAAATCGTACGTGCCTGTCCGAAATGAAGTAAAACATATCATTTCTTCTAATTGTACGTTTTTAACCTGTCTGAAAAAAAAATCTCATATATAGTGCTGTAACACTAAATCCTCGTTCTTCTTCTCCTTGTGTATAACCTGTACAGGAGACAGGTAATCAATGCGTCAACTTATATCTCTATCAAGGAGACAATAAAAATAAAGATCTTAACAGCCGCCATTACAACACGCGACATCTCGATTACTTCATTCTCGCTTGCTTTTCTTTTTATATTTTTATTTTACACTCTTGGTGTTCGTCTAGCCAGGGGGACACGCATCCTCATACTGTAGGTGTTACGATCACTTCCACTCTCAGCAGGGATCGAACGCGATCGTATCCACCTGAGTATCGAAGATGGGGCCGCTAAAAACAAGTGAGAGCATTAACCTACGTCGCTTCCTGTCAATATCCGAGCTGCGGGTGACACCTCCTACTCGTGGAAAATAAACCATATAAAAATAAACCAGTGTGTCCTGACGTGGTTGTATCCTTGTATATAATTTACTCTAGTTGATATAACTGGAAGGCAACGAGACGACGAGTCTCCCATATGTTGTTCAGTTGAGTGACCACCACCTACTATAAGGAAACTTGACCCGGGCTGTTCACGGTTCGATGTATCTAGTAAGCAAACAATTGTGTAAGTGTTTATCCTTCATTGGCTAAACAGTTAACTGTAAAAACTGCACCGTAAGCACGAGGACTGATTGTAAACTTGTTAACAGACTTGTAAATAGGTACATTGCCCTGGTATAACAACACACTTTTACTGAGCTTTCCACTACAATGGAGTTTAATATTTACTCTAAACTGCCCAAGACGTGACGCATGATATGTGCCGTTGATTGTTTGTCCTTTTTGCAGGTAATTTACTGTCAGAACATCATCAGCATCCCAGAAAACCGAGGCCATGACCTTTCCAGCTGATGGAATATTAATTGTCTTCTTTTGCGTGGTTGAACCAGGGTGTTTCCATTGTTGAGACTGTTGTTTTGCCTCTAGGGTGAAATGATGGACCCGAGTTTCGTCAAAAGTCACAAACCTCTGCAGACAGTTAGCATGATTTGCCTATAAAATGTTAAGATTAGCACGCGACAGAGTCCGTCTGGAATGTTTCCGATCAACTGTCAGAAATCTTGGTACACAACGGGCTGAGAGCTTTCTTATTGCAAGATTTCGTAAGAATTGAATGTACTCTTTCCTGTGAAATCCCAATTGTAGTGGCTATACATCTCTCTGTAATTTGTCTGTTAGCCATAACAATATCATGGACATTATTGACTATTTGTGGGGTTGCAATAGGGACAGGTCTACCAGGACAGGCGTCATCCCCAAGGCTCTGCCTGCCACGCTTAAATTCTGTCATCCACTTTTTCACTGTAGAATGTGAAGGGACACCATTCCCTAATGTTGCTTCCATATCAGTATGGATATCCTTATGTGCTAGACCTTCCTTATGGCAATATTGCATCACTGCTCTTTCAGTGATTATGTCGATTTTTCAAAAGTAATTGGCTTTGTTTACTTCATTTGCATTGTTACACTAGTCTTCGGTTACACAGTATTAAATAGTCAGAGGATAAATAGAGCTGAAAAAACATCCCTGCTTAACTTCTTCAATTCAAGGCTCACAACTTGTCAAACAGTCCTTGTCATATACAGGAATAGATTACAAAACACAAGCTACACAGTTACACAATCATTAAACAGCGCTGGACGTAGGAAAGTAACCAACAGTCGCCTCCTATATGTCTTTAAATGGAGGGCCTTGTCACTGATGTGTAATAGAAAGACAGCGGTGCGATGCAGTTAAATTCGTTATTTTACTCTAATGTGTGTCTTTTATGCAATCTGGAAAGCCAGCATGGAAAATGCCAGCATGTATTTCAGCCCTGTACCAAATTTAAATCAGAAATACCCCGTGAATAATACTCTTGTTTTGTGATCTGTTTGGTTTTGAGTGCATTATCATCACAACATTATTGTCTTCGTATCATACCCCTAATTTATGTCTTCCTACGCACCAGGATCCGTTCAATAGCCTGATTCCACCGAAGATTTGTTAATCTTTATATCTATGCGTGGGGTAGGGTGTTGAAAGTAAAACAATATTTCAATTCCGCGTCAGTTATTTAAAAAAAAAGACCGAACTGAACCGAGCCGAACCGAACGAACTTTGTCCCTGGTGACGATGACAGCCTGGCACGTGAATCGATATGTGACCGCCAGGCTAGTGAACAGGTAGTCAGAAGCGATAACGGTTACGATACACGACACCCGTCATCAATTACTCAAGTGGTTTAAACACTATGATGTCTACTGATAAACAACAATTATTATCAATAGGATTGCTTTTTTTTAATCTTATGGAAACAAAGACAAGGCACTGGTCACCGGTCACAAGAATATACAAGTAGTGTTACCCATTTCTCTACATGAAAAATACTATCCGGATCTGTGCCATTCATTGTCGACAAATTTAAACAACATCGATTTTCAGCAATTCAGGACTTCACAATTTTTTTTAAATCGGATTTCAAATGACATGATAAATACATAACAGTATAGATAATGTGATAGGTACATAAATTAGCCGGTTCTTTGTTGACTCTCCTGGGGCAGTGCGCACGACGACAGTTGATGATGTTTGCGGTGTTAGTAATACACACGTCAGTGACCGGTACACCACACAGGTATGACACAAGGTATATTGATCTGTGATTTAGTAGGTATTGATTCTATCACCAGGTGAGTGAGTGCACGACAATTACCTGTGTCGGTGTGAGGTTATCGACCGAATTTCGTTATTGATATATAACTACGTCGCCACGAGATGTAAACTAGGCGATAACGGTATTATTGTTCCGGTTATCCATGGAAGTCGTACCTGTAACGTAGAAATGTCTTGAATGCCAACATGTAGGAAAGATTAAGTTGATTGCTGATTGTCACACGAATCTACTGTACTTGTAGACACTTCCGTGTCGCCTATCTGTTCCTGTCTTGATCTCGGGACCTCCCCATCGTATATGTACCTCCGCCCCTCTCCAATGAAAATTAGAAACGTTCAATACGTTTTCAAGACGTTTAACGCCATTTTCCTCAAAGGAATCTTCTAGTATGTTTATTAATCATTTTGTCGAAAATTAGATAACTGGTCATTTTTCCGGTTTTAGTCCACTGTGCGCCCCCAGCCCCTCTTATTCCAAAAAGTACAATATACCTTCCATCTTCCTCCCTTTAGCCCCTAACTATATTCAATGATATTGTCCTCCTTGATTTCCACTGCGTTGCAGGGAGACTATGTGCATCAGGGATTTCTTATGGTATAAGGCTTATTATTTAAACACAATATCACACACATGAACAAATTTTTTTTTTTTAAAGGAAAGATTTAGCTCCCAGCAGATTGTCGAATCCATCTGGCCTTAGGTTCTAGGTTCGATCCCTTGGCACTGAAGTAAGTGATTACCAGTACATTGTACGACGTTCGAAACGCTGAGGTTTGGATATTAATCACAGTGACTTGACATAAAACCCAACACCCATCATGATGATTTGAGATCTTTGATAGAAATCACTATATTTCATGTACATCTTATATATACATGTTGGATTCAGTGGTATCCCACTGCAAATTGTAACTCATGCCAGTGTCCAGTTTACGTACAAGAACATGGCCGATGTCGTGTAAAAGATTGGCTAAACTGGACAGTGACATGGCATTATCGCCGACCAAACACGCTGTTGTCGATCAGTTTCGGGTCAGATAGCCTAAATCATCCTGGCGAACAGCTCCGTTATTTGCTACAACCTCCGTGTAAAACGCATATTAATATCACTGTTACATCATAGACAATGCCCCGATTGTTAGGGCGATACTAGTGTACGATTCGGACTGGACTGGAGTGACAGTTATCCGGATAATTAATCGCTAGTGTCCGAAACTAGTCTGTACATTATACATGTAACGGTCAGTTAGTGACGTCTTACGTGGATTTATGGTACTTACAAATATATGAGACATAAAAGCGATAATTCTGCATACAAGTCCGACAGTGTGATACGGAAGAGACATGTAAACAGACCATACGCTCAAAAAATACACAGCGTACCATTCGGGGCATAACTTTCACTCGGATTTATCCTTCAACAGCTCAATATGTGTAAGTTGCAAGTTATTTAGTTAGTAACTGGTTTAATCATGTATTCTAGAACAGTTTAATTTGATTACTAACATGATGGAAGTGCACGTTTGAGAAGGAGAATGACGCCAGCCTGTTCCTTATATTGGCTTACAATGATTTCTTGTGTTACAATGTGAGCAGGAAAAACAGTCTAAGGGACCTCGATGGAATACATCGTCCGTTGTTAATGTCGCACCCAAGTTGGAACACATTATTACTGACACTTATTGTTGTATACTCTGGGACCTCGTCCTTTATTGCTACTTTTGTAGGTCCAGGGAACACATCACTCATTGTTATTCCTGTGCACCTGGGGAACACATCACTCATTGTTATTCCTGTGCACTTGGGGAACACATCACTCATTGTTACTCCTGTACACCAGGGAAACATGCCACTCATTATTACTTCTATACACCAGGGAAACATGCCACTCATTGTTACTCCTGTACACTCAGAAAACATCCCACTCATTGTAACTTCTATACACCAGGGAAACATGCCACTCATTGTTACTCCTGTACACTCAGGAAACATGCCACTCACTGTTACTCCTGTACACCAGGGAAACATGCCACTCATTGTTACTCCTGTACACTCAGGAAACACGCCACTCATTGTTACTCCTGTACACCAGGGAAACATGCCACTCACTGTTACTCCTGTACACCAGGGAAACATGCCACTCATTGTTACTCCTGTACACTCAGGAAACATGCCACTCACTGTTACTCCTGTACACCAGGGAAACATGCCACTCATTGTTACTCCTGTACACTCAGGAAACACGCCACTCATTGTTACTCTTGTACACCAGGGAAACATGCCACTCATTGTTACTCCTGTACACTCAGGAAACATGCCACTCATTGTTACTCCTGTACACCAGGGAAACATGCCACTCATTGTTACTCCTGTACGCTCGGGGAACACATCACTCATTGTTACTCCTGTACACCAGGGAAACACATCACTCATTGTTACTCCTGTACACTCAGGAAACATGCCACTCATTGTTACTCATGTACATCAGAGGAACACATCACTCATTGTTACTCCTGTACACAAGGGAAACATGCCACTCATTGTTACTTCTGTACACTCAAGAGAAAACGTCACTCACTGTCACTCCTGTACACTCAAGAGAACACGTCACTCATTGTTACTCCTGTACACTCAGGAAACACATCACTCATTTTTACTCCTGTACATTTGGGGAACACGTCACACATTATTCCTGTACACTCAGGGAACCCATCACTCATTGTTACTCCTGTACACTCTGAGAACACATCACTCAGTGACAATGCTGTCAGTTAATAAGCTAACATTGTCATATAACAAATCATACTTTATTTTACCTCAAAATAAATAAATGTCCTGAGTGGATCCAGCATCCATTTTCCCAACATTTTTCTATCTTTTTCTTTGTTACCAAGTAGTAATGGACTTTGCAGCAAATAACGTGTAAGATTTCTTATATCCCAGGTTATGACCATCAGTGACCTTCATGTTTTGTTTGTTTGTTTGGGTTTTTTGTGGTGGGGAGGGGATGGCGAGGGAGGTTTGGAAAATTAAAACAAAATATGATGTTCAAATGTGAATCGTAAGTACATTGTACCCAGACAAACATTTCCTTAAAAATGGGAAATCTGGGGGAAATGAAATTAATATCTTCCTAAGTTCTCTCTGAGTTGCAATGGTTTAATTTAATAGTTACTTGGTAAATAAAACATGTTGCCTTTTAAAATGATTTTATTGTTAACTTGGCAAGTTGACTGTTTATTTTTAAGCCTTGATTTATTTACGTTCTTTAGCTTTTGTTACATATTATATGGCAATAGTGTTGAACCAATGACGTACAACCAAATCTACATTAAACACTTGACGTGTTTTTTTTTTTTTTTTTTAAATTTTCATTCATATCAATGTTATTGAAAAATGTTGACAGGAAATGACCAGTATATTTTTAACTGTGTAACAATGTCCGTGAACGTTTGATTTTCGTTACCTCCTACAACGGTGTTTGTTACAAGTCGGTTGTGTATGTGGGAGTTACTCGTGCAGTGTGTATGTACTATTCGCCCAAAGCATACTGATCTTCGCCATGTGAAAGTTTAAAATTTCAAATTGTGTTTTTTTCAAGAACAAGTCCAAATCAATAAGCTTTCATCGTAGGGTTTTCTCGGGAAGTTAATTTCAAATAACAGCACGTGTTTGTCAAGATTTCAATCCGATGATTTTAAGCATTACATTTTTCCTACATGGTGGTGTAAAGCTTGTTAAGTTGGGTGTTGTATAAAGCGCCTGTTTACTGGCTTCCACGGTCTACAGGTACCCGACTTAGTGTACTAGGTAAACATGTGTACAGGTTTATACAGGGACACCCAGACTACAAAGGACTTAGGTTGTTTACTTGTATGTAATGTCAATTATATGTTTATTTACAACATGAAAGACCAGATTAACCAAAGAAACACCCAATGAAAGAATTTAATGTGGAAAGAGATCTGTTCGAAAACCGAGGAGTTCATTATCAGTATATCGAGAATATAAGTGCTGTTTTAGAGATGAATATGTAATGATGTGTGTGATCGATTTTTGTCAAAATCAATCCAATCTATTTTATTTTTTAATCATATTAAGTATAGAAAAAACATAATTACAAAGCATTATACAAGTGTTTCATACTTTGTCATAAAAGGTTTATATATATATATATATATATATATATAGCATTACATAGTACAATACAACACGTATTTCATATACAATAGATACTACACGCTAGCAAAAATATAAAGCAAAATTTTACAGTAAAATCCATTTTATGTTTTGAAAAAAAGAACTACTAGTGACTGATATGTGTGTTTCATTGCCTGGCTGGTCTAGCATTCGATTCTATATCAACATCAAGCAATTATTATTTCTGGGACGAATTTGTAACATAGATTGTAAGTTATGTTAGCACACAGAATATCTTTCACTAGATTTTGTATGTTTGATATGAACATTGGAAAAACAACAGGGATTTATACCCGATACTATGTGTATCTTGAGGAAGTACTCATTGTATGATACATTTGTTGACTGTATAATGTTACGGTCATTTCCAGGAAAATTACAATGGAAATGTTTGTTTATTCAAGTGTATATAGTATAGAAAACATGCATGGTTAGAGCGCATGAGAAATGATAATTATTTTTTTATATATTTAAGCTTATCCATCTTTAGCTTTAAGTACATCACTTATGGAAATTAACAGTACAGTATCCTCAATATTATCGATATATACAGTGTATGTTAAAAGTATGTGTAAGTTCGTGCATGTTGAACCATGAGGAATTGTGTTACTACCGTGGTATGTTATACAAAGATTCTATAACACATATTATTTGTCACAGTGAAAAAATACTGATATTCGATATTAATTAAGGTGTCAATTAGTCAATAAGTTGGGTATTAATATCATGACGTGGTTGCATAATTTGTCGGACTTTCACTTAATGAATACTTTGTTGGTGGCACTTTAAACCATGAAATGTCGGAAGAAGATTTGGAAAATTTCAGAATGGTAGATTTAAGATTTCCGTGTCAACTGTTAAAACTTATGAACTACATTATTGTGATTAATTACCTGTATATTTGCTATGTACACTATACGACTCTAGATTCAATCTTGATTTTATTTTGATTGTATTGATTCTATGGAATCTATGAAAAAGAGGTAATAATGATGAGAATAATAAAATAATAATAAAATAATAATAAAAATAAACAGAAACTGGCCCTCTAGCGATAGTTTATTTGTTTATATCCGCATCTTTATGAGTATTTTTCCCGACAGATTTGAGAGCTTTTGAATTTGATCAAATCCGATGTATTAGAATGTAAACTGCTGGTCTTTTATTTGCCCTGAACTGTAAAGACAGTTTGATGAGAAATATCCCGCAAACGTAGGCGACAAAATGCAGGTTTATGGTCGATACCTGTACCGATTAAGGTTAACATATCAGTAATTTGTCTGTTCGGATTAGTTAGGTTTTTGGTGAAGTTTGTCACGAATGTCAGTCTATATACAGTTTAAGTTGATTTCTACGTGTCATATTTATTGTATCGTTAAACAGGAGAATGTGATCTCGTAGAAAAATTTATACAAGGACAGTTTCAAATTCTGTTCATATCGTGTAAGGCCATTCTGAAACATTTATTTATATATAATGGGACGAACTGAAGGCTTCAAAATTTAATTGTTTTTTATATTCTTGATAATATACTATGTGGATATTATATAAATCACCAACTCACTACCTGTTATAAAGTGTCCACTTACAAAACTCTTACGTCATCCTGCAGAGAGGACTTTGAACCCTAGATTGTGTGATTTTACCCATTGCCCTGTTCAAGATATATACCAGTACGTGTGTGTAACAATCTACTATATCGGATTCCAGAAAGAATTTTAAACAGTGGTTGTAAGTAGATAATCGGTTTAATGAAATATGCGGTGAAGATGTGTTTTCCGTCCTATGTTCATACCCCGGGGCAGGATGTTATTGACAGCACGTCCTTGAGAATCGATTAACGAAATGTATTGTATGACTAATACTTGTGCCGTGTGCTCTATTTCATCATCTTTCGAAGTTGTTTTTAAGATTCCTTCGTTTCGTTATCGAGTTAATTTATCTTCTGCATAAAATCACCATTCATCACAACAATAATTAAATTACTCACACATCGCTCTATACACCTGGTACAAGTACAGGTAATAGATGATTCTGGTTCTTTTGTAAATGTTGTTTACTCCAGTCGGGTCTGTTTTTTGAACTTTGACCTACTGCGAACGTCACATGCTCATGACGTCATTTTCAGTGAATGAAATAAACAATTTCTATATATTCTACCATCATCATCTGATTGAACCATGGTTTGGGTTTGATGTCAAATTTATGATTATATATCCTAAATGCAGTGAAATATTAGTCCTCGTCATGTTAAAACGCGATTACTAGTACCAAGAAATACGGATGTTGCTACTATATTTTTTTGGAAGCCAGCCAGCTTATTATTCAAGGTCGACAAATAGCTCCGCCTCCTTTTCATGTGATTGGTTGAACATAACAACGGTATATAAGAGCAACAGTCTTGTGTGGGTTCATTCATAAATAGATTGTCTAGAGAGAGAGGAGGTGAGACGTGTTACAATCACCATCTGTGAATTATACATAAAACATATTCATATTTCAGTGAAACCGACTTGTGGAATTTTACTTTCATCAAGCAGTGCTCCTAAACCGATGGCGAACACTGAATTCCTTTTAGAAGAGACCGAAATTTTCGAGGATCAAATTGTGCCCGACCAAGACGATTGTTTTCTCCCGCCTAGCGCGGATGTAGCTGTGCAGTGGAACGTAAGTACATTTTAGTTGAATAAATTTAACTGATTTCATCAAACATCGCGAATACGTTTCTACCATGGGTTTGTTATCGGCTTGAGGTTGTCGAACTGAGAGATGGTAGTTCACACGCTTGGTTAACCTACACTAAACCTATATGTACCGAGGGGGGAAAAAATCGATTTTTAATCAATTGAGATCTACTATCGGGCCTATATATTACCAAGTGGTACTTTTCCATTCAAGTAACAAGCCTGTATACGTGTCATGACTTTAAATTAGAATATTTAATCATTTATCGAACCGAGGTAAGCCAGATGTCTTAACGCCATTTTGAGATGTCGACACTTGAAAAAGTCGGTCAGGTTGTCATGTAGGGCCTGGCGATATTTGATATTGTGAAATATTTGTAGACTGGCTAGGTCGCTCGTAACGTGTGCGTGTGTGTGACTGGGCACTTTGTAGAGTTTACCTGTGTCCTAGTATAAGTGACACTGTGATATCTACAGGTAAACGTCAGCCTTAACTTATAGCCGGATATACCTCAATAGTAAACCGAGTTTAATAAAACGTCCCATTTAAGTTAAGTATTTTAGAGAAACTACAATAATTTACTACACAACATACAATGTATCATCATAACATGCTTTGGGTTTAATACTCTATATTCATCGAAGTGACGTCATTACGAAGGTGTTGGAATTCATTAACAGATACCCAAAAATACATTGTGTGGCCCTGCTAGCGACATACTCCCTACTACGTCCGTTATAGTACCTATGTCATATTCTAAACAGTGATGCATCTTATAGGAAAACCCTGTAACGTAATCTACATTCGATTTTTTGAATGTTAGACACAATATTCGGTGGTTAAAGTCTGGTGTGTGTCGTTCACCGCCATCGGCAGGTATTTAGCCAGGCATGTCTGAAACGGCGCATGTGATTGGACGGTTTATCAGTGATCGTGGACCTGATGAACCGACTGCGCCATTCCATTCATAACTAGTTTACAGAGCTGGAGTCATTCATAAAACTCAGTCAGCATACGAGTGGGCGTTTCGGCTCGTGAGCCGAAACCTTTGAAAGGCATTGATCGCGTGTTCAGCCATTTTGTTTCTGTTTGTGAAAAAGAATGTCTATATTTAATGTGAGCTTACAAATAAAACTTATAAATAAAATATATTTGAAATGAAGAAGTGTGTACGAAAATTGATCAGCTATTTTATTAATTCATTTTTTTTAACTTTCAGGTTGTCCAAGAATTGGAAAAATATCTGCCATATGACCCCCTGACTCAAGCACCAGTAGCGAAGAAGGTGAGGCGCGAAAGCGCCTCAGTAGTCGACGAGTTCTTCGGCGATGATAAAGACACACCGGAATTGAACAACGCCAAACAGCGCGTTCAGTTGGCACGTGCCAAGTACATGGACTTGGGACACCTTAGAACAGGGTTGATTGGTAACCCGAAGTCCCAGACAAGTGATATACCGAGACGCGGAAGTTCTAATCTCATTTCCGAATTCTTTGGAGATGTTTCTAGTCCCAAGAAAGTTATTCCGTCAGTCAAGAAGGTGGATACTACCTCCTTTGACGTCAGTGCTACCATGATGGACACATTCGTCCCCAGCAGTTACACTGAGTTAGAGGAACAGAGTAAAAAAGTGTCGGATTCGCTATGGGAGGACCTCCGAAGTAGTTTTGATATTCTCGAACCTTCGGTTAACGATGAGAAGAGAGACGAGGTATACCAAACGAAAGGTGCCACTACGATACCTAAGATTAAATCGGAATTTGTGGACTTAACTAGTAAACCTTCTTGTCAGTTTGAAAATTCACAAAGGACAACGCCTAATGGCGTAACTATTAAAGTAGAGCCGTCGGAGCCGAGCTGTCTGTTGACAGCTAGTGTTTCAGATAGTTTTAATTCTCGTCCCAAAACTCTTCCTATTCCAGTTTCCCAACAAGTGATTCTTTCCCAGCCCGGGTCATCAGTTGTGCAATATATTACCCAGCTTAGATCTGTGGGCGTTAACAAATCGCAGGTGACCACAAACAATCGGATGTACGTGAGCACCCCGCCCCACACCGTTCCCGTGTTACCCCCTACTCCTCCTAACTCCCAGCCAGGAAGTCCAGACCAGGACACGGTCCGTCGGACTCCCCCACCCCCTTACCCTGGACTTCACCGCCCATCTCCCTTATCATCCCCAGCCGGTGGTTTCAACATTAAACCAGTCATTCCCATCAGGACCCACACACCGACACGCCAAAGCAAGCCCCAGTTGACACATCCAGGCTGTTCCACCATCAAATACAACCGAAAGAACAATCCCGAGTTGGAGAAACGGCGTATCCACTTCTGTGAATTTCCAGGTGATTATTTTACCCCTCTCCCCTCTATAAAGAGAAACTACTTATTTACAATAATTTTACGATTACTTGTGCCATTAATAACCTTCGTGACGTAAACGCTATACTTTTAAACCATGTTGTAAATTGATAGACCTTCTGACGTCATGATTGATGTCAAGAAAATATTTACTTGGTCTGGGTCTGGCGAACGTAGAAAGTAAGCGCTCAGTGTTAAATACTACAGTGAATCAAACATCTTACAGAAGTAGTACGTGTGTGTACATGTGCTGAATATAGTGTTGACGCAGAACAGCTGTCGAGCAGTGGTATTTCGAGATAAAATCTATACACGATAAACGAAAACATAGAATGTTAATACATTTTTAACAGGAAAATAACCAAAGCAGTAGACAGTTGTTTTCAAATTTCGCTCATTTATGCGCCGTTTGTTGAAAGAAAGCCTCCGGCTCGGCATCTGTAACCTATCGAGATATTAGAAGGCGTACATCATTATAGAAAGATAAACAAGCTGATGGCATGACGAATAGAGAGCAAGCCATGCATTATTTACGTCACATCAGCCAAGTCGTTGGTTGACCAAGAGAATGTAAATCTAGCTTGCCGTGTTAGCCTAATCAATGACACTAGAGTGCCCGTATGTCGGTGAATGAAAGCTAAATATATATATACGGTATCGATTTAGTCCGTGTAGCTGTAAGATGGCTGGTTCTGTCAAATTTATTTGGTACAAGAATAGTCTTTGTATTTCCAGAAATAGCTGTTTGTGTATAAAATGGCAGTTCAGGTTAGATACATGCCCCAGACAAATCAAGTTAATTGATCTGTTATTGAGGTACTCAACCAGACGGCGCAGATTCTATGTCTCAAATGCGAACATGCATACAATAACCATCATTCCCATATTGCTTGTGTCAGAATTGGAAAGTAATGTTTGTATTTATTTTGTGTGTTTCAGGTTGCAGAAAAGCCTATACCAAGAGTTCACATCTTAAAGCTCATCAGCGGATTCACACAGGTAAATTTGCGTTCATTAGATTAATGGAACTTTTCGTTATCATTGATGTCCTTAACTCCATTCTTTAAGACAAGAAATGAAAACAGAGTTATACGTGAAGTAACATAATCTATTTATGTTTTAAAAAAGCCACGACATTCATGTTTCATTAATTTGTCATTTCAGGTGAAAAGCCATACAAATGTCACTTCCCAACTTGTCAGTGGAGATTCGCAAGGTCCGACGAGCTTACCAGACACATACGAAAGCACACGGGTGCCAAACCCTTCAAGTGCAAGGTTTGTGAGCGGTCCTTCGCAAGGTCTGATCACTTGGCGCTGCACATGAAACGCCACGAGCCCAAGAAATGAAGGGAATCACAACCCGAGATTTTTTGTCGTGGGATTTGAGCCCTCACGTTTGGAACCCAGCAATGGCATGGGACTCCATGAAGAATCCAATTGGAAGGCTATTTGAATAAAGCCTGGAAAGTTTGTAGCTGGACATTTGAATGAATGTGAACGGCCATCAAAGGACAAGTGCTAGGGCGACGGTGATATTTTTTGCCACGCCCCGTGTTACTGGAGGATTGCCCAATGACCGAATTTGGGTGGAAAGAGACACTTTTTCTGAGAATGGTTCTGGTTAGAACGTATATATGATTGGCTAGTAGTTACGGCCAGGGAACATACTGGACGTTCTGATTGGTGTCAAGATCTTTTGCCAGTCGTTTTTGGCTGTTTGTTTACGAGAATGAAAGATTATCGAATGCTAGTCGAGATAACTGAAATGTATGTACCGGTGACTAATCTGGTGAATGTACAATGCCCATAGACAGTATTAATATCTCAGGGCTACGAGAAGCAAACAGCACCACTGAAGCTGTGATCACGTCGATAGATCAAAATATAGTATCGATTAGAGCAGGCACACAAGTTGTTGACTGTCGTCGTTGCGTATTTATTGTAACAGCTAAATGTTATACATATTGATACAAGTAGTGCGCGTGCGCACTTGGCATACCGAGGTTACTAGAGATGTGTAATGGGTCTGCAGTTGTTTACAGACAAGAGGTGTTGAGTCATACTATCTTTCTAGTTTTTTCTGCGCAGTGTTGATGTTGGGCCGTTAGTTGTTGCTTATTTTGACGTAAATGGGAAAGTGCCATTAATTGTTAAACGTCATTAACAATTTGTTATATCTGTGTTTGTTGACGTAAATAGGTTAATTAATTGCTGTTGTTTTCCCACTACATTATCATTCCAGAACTGTGTTAATGTGCTTTATGGATGACAAAATTTCTAGAGCTTTTTTTCTTTTTTTTTCTTTTCTTTTTTCTCCTCTTCTCTGAATGTTACTTTGATATATATTTAAACAATACATTAGAAATCCTTTGATAATTGCTCTTTGGGATTTCTTTGCTTATCGGATCTTTGATATCTTGTACACTATTTGTCAATTTTTCACTGACACAAATCTATGATCAGAAATCCTGTGATTTGTTTTTGATGTTGTGGAATGTATAGTGTGATAAAGATATCTATTTAATTTATTATGTAATTTTTAACAGCATAGATTTCAGTACGTTATTGATTAAATTACACGTGAAGGCTCGGTTTGAAAAAGATGAACAACAAAAATATAAAATTGATTCTAGAGTTTGTAGTATACTTAAAATTTTGACAGGACATTTCTAACAGAAACGTAAAAAAAACCTATTTATTGGATACACTTGAACTCCTAATGAAGGTATGATTCCAATACGGGTCCAGAGAACTGTTACTGGAGTATGTGATAAGGAGTGTCTGTGAGTTTACAAGACAGAGCTATGTACGTGGAGTGTAAGTTGGTTATGAGGGCGACATGAAGTTATTTTACTAGGTATTAAACTTTTGTGATAAGACGTTGTTGTATGGGGACTTAAGCTCAGAATTCTTTGATATCCTCCATTGATAAATTTTATATTTTTTTTACACGTGCCCTTTTGTGACACCTGTATCGATGTTTACTTCGATTATAGTTTATTTGACTGTACAATAAAACAGAAAAAAATACCTTAATAAATTGTTTCATTGTCTTTCTTTCATATAAATCAAGAAATTTTAATACAATGCGTTTCCTACATTACGTAACACTGTATGCTTTACGATAGGAGGTCTCGGATTTTTTTCTTTTCACCGTAGACGAGACACAAAGACATGTATTGTGCTGTAGGACAATATTAACGATAAAAGTACCGTGTAAAATTCGGACGTCTGGGAACCTGCGTCAGCGGAAGTGTATATAGGGAGACTAACCGACATCATTTAGATCATTAACCCTAGAGCTGTGCGATGTGTATAGATAATCCATGCATCAGGAAATATGCTGTTGTGATGTAAATCGGTTGTCGAGGCTTAAACAGCTCGACTGGTGATATGTCAGTCTGCAGCTAAGCATTTCTCCTATAGCACATTAGTGTTTTTATAGAGATGGTTACGAGTATTCTATCTCGTCACAATGATGACCTAGAAATAAATCATTGGTCACGTTTCATCGTCGCAAACAATAAACGATGTTCGGCTGCTTTGTACCTAATAGACAAATGAATTTAAAAACAATTGTCAGCTTCCAAGCCTTTCCTGTGGCCAATTTGGACAGGCGAAATTGGTGGGAATCTGTTATGATCACGTCTTTGTCATTTATACGACTGGGTCACTGAAAAACTGGAGATCTAACGAGTTGTTATGAGTATACAAGAACCCAGTATATTTTCTCCATTCCCTAAAGGCCTATAGCCATGGATGTTTTTGATTTGCTTTGAAGGTCGCAGGATCCAGATAACACCAAAAATGTAGCATTTAATAATGATTTAATTTATTGTGAGCGTATATAAAAGGTATTAAGCTTGAAAGATAGAATTTTTAAATCATGTTGATAATCCTGATTCTAGAATGAAGCGACATTTAAGTATTTCTTATCGCAGTCAAGTTCATTTTCGGATTTTCCTAACAAGGACCCAATGTTGTGCTTTTTTTTCTCAGAAAAAAGTATCAACTTCCGGACTAACGAAAACCAACTCTGATGATAAAGTATGTTATTAGATATCATGTAAGAAAGGCATTGTGTTTACGGCACAAATTATCTTACGGATGTAACTGTGATACGTCAGCGATGTTACATGGCAAAAAAGGAACCTGTTGTGCTTTGATCAGTCACCTTTAATAATCCTAAAATGTCTAGGTTATATTCACCAGCTGACTTCTGCTGAAGTTGCTGATACCTCGAGTTTGTGATATGAAACTGTTGTGAATATCTTGTGAAAACTGAAAAAAAAAATCCTCATTCTTGTTTCTGACGTTGTCATTGACGCTGTAAACGACAAAAACAAACATGACAATGAAAAGGGAGAAATCACATCCGGAAATTCAATATCTCAATGAATCAGTATTCCACGCAGTACCCGTATACATGGTCTATAACAAGGATGTAACCTTTATAAAGCAAAACTCAGTGAAAATCTGACGCAAGAAATTGTAGCCAAAACTTCCTCATAGCAACCGCGAGGGGTGTATAGTCGAGAAAAGAAACTTGCTAATCCTTGTTTTCATCGATATTTACGCTTTGCTTTTAGGCATGGGCAAGATAATATGTCTTGCCTGTGACATTGACCATACCCGATGCGAAGGTACGATCGATGTTTTTATAACTTACATCTCCAAATTCCATGTAAACATGCATAATAAAACGTAATAATGTACTTTAAGTCAGAACATCTAAATGGATTGCTAAAGGATAGAACAACAGTGTAATCAAAAGCGGTTGGAACCATTTGGTTGCTGTTCGCGGTGTCAATGACGCTGAAGTAACCCCATCAATTTCAGCTATTTCAACCCGGATACACTTCCATGAATGTATGCACCCACTGATGTAACCTGACGACAAGAGCGGATGTAACTGCATCAGCTAGTGTAACCAGGGTTATGATAATGGACGACATCGTTGATACCGGATGAAAAGTTGCCGATTATTGTCGCCTTGGTTACATAAGTGGACGTGATTATGTAAACGTTGTGAATATCCGTGTGTTACTGAACAGACTTCCGGTTTGAAGATCCAGTCGGAGGCTATTTAAATAAGATCTGACGTCGTTACTGCATGAATACTTTTATTCTTTTTTTTCATTTAGACAAGACAAATTATTTACCTTTTATTTTCATTTTTTTTCAATTCAAATTTATCATTTTAATCCTTATACACTTGTAATAGGTATTGGTTTGCCTTACACATCACTGAGGACAGCGCCATTGCGTATTATCATTGATAAAATAGGGTATAAAAAGATGACTCGTTAAGATTGTAATAGATTCCACCCTGTGTAACATTTCATTGGAAAGACGTTATCGAAATTCGTTCGACATTGCTGTCATAAATAATAGAAGTAAGAGTGAATATTAAAATACTAATCAACTATATTCGCAAATATCATTGATTTTATTACGATAATACTGCGATCTACACGAAGTGACAAAACGATTCCTCCGGACTTGCATGAAGAACTACAGCGGCTTCAAACATAGGCAGGAAGTGATGAATAAGTATAATGTTCCGTGATGTACATGCTTTGTTTATACTACAAGGCAAAGTCAACAAAATTATCCAAACTTACCGGCACACTCTGCACCATCCTTACGAAAGAGAACCCCTCCCCTCCCCTTATCCCAACGGTTAAGGTAATTCCCCCACCGATAAGCGATTTCCCCGAGGTACAGACCGGTGATGATGTGGCTCTTAAAATCTAACATTACGAAAATCGTAACTTTTAATAAGTGTACTTAAGATTTTAAATATCATAGTATTGCAAAATAGCTAAGTAAAACACTTTTGACGACTTAAAGTATTTTGTCCAAATGCAGTAAGCAAATAGTAATGTTACTGGTGGTCCGGATGTAGGTAATAATTGGTTTGCTTTTTGTCAATTGGACAGAGTTTCCGGTCATATTGTAAATAAAGACTTCCTTTTATGTTTACTAAGACGAGGATTGAAGACATGTAACGTTTGATCGCGTGAGAGTTTGGACGGATATGAAAATAGCAAGAATAGTGTTTGTTTTGAAACGTGTGATATACAAATACATGAGGTAGTAATTAAACATAGTGGATACATGGAGATAGCCTAACTACAGAATGTATCGGACTACACCCATCCGACTTACTACAGCCAGGTAAAACAACTTCAAAACTAAAATTAAAAACGATCGTTCAAAACAGGAAATCGTGTTAGATGGAGTGACATCAGTTGCGGTGATATTAAAATATCCAACTAGACAACGCTACGTAAAATGGATATATTTAATGAAGAATAATTATACAAACATTTGGACATATATTTCCATTTTCACTCAGGAAAACAAATACGCTGTACAAGGAGTGAACGGAGTTAGTAAAATGCATCTCTCATGTTATTGTAAAAAATATCATTAAACATCACCACAATTTTATTTATTATCATCGAACGATCACGTTCCCGTAAAAAAATGTACACATGGTACCATAAAGACGTGCACGCGCGAGATAAATTAGCCAACTGAAACACTAAGATATCTAAAATCACGTACACATGTACGTGATAAACAGCCAGTTCACATCTACATCCGGTATTCGCACAGGTATGTATATACGCTACAACAAACAACTTATTTCCAAGTGTGTTTCCGTTTGATAAAAGGATACGGGAAGTAAGTAAACATGGGCACGCGCTCGTGGTAAACATAGGGGAGACTATGTAACTTACAAAGTTGTTTCAATATCCCCTGAAACGGTATGTTTACAAAAGATAATTTGCATTGCTCAGTAAAATGTGGCTTAGTGCAACTTCCGGTTCCTGTCTTTTTTTAAACTAAAAAGAGAATTAGCTTGGTCTAATGCTTCGCAATAAAGATAATAGCTTTATTTAAAGTATTCTAAACGTGGAGCTGTAATATTTAATAAATCTAATATAAAGATGTAGCTTTGCATCTTAAATATCAATAGTAATGTAAAAAGAAACCGATTTGTGTGGTCTGTACATAGTGCTAAATACGATCTGTGTCACACAGCTGGCAGGTCGGTGTGGCCTTTACAGTGTTAAATACTGTCTCTGTCACTCAGCTGACGGGTCGGTGTGGCCTTTACAGTGTTAAATACTGTCTCTGTCACTCAGCTGACGGGTCGGTGTGGCCTTTACAGTGTTAAATACTGTCTCTGTCGCTCAGCTGACGGGTCGGTGTGGCCTTTACAGTGTTAAATACTGGCCTTTACACAGTGTTAAATACTGTCTCCGTCACTCAGCTGACGGGTCGGTCTGGCCTGTTTACAGACTTAAATACTGTCTCTGTCACTCAGCTGACGGGTCGGTGTGGCCTTTACAGTGTTAAATACTGTCTCTGTCACTCAGCTGACGGGTCGGTGTGGCCTTTACAGTGTTAAATACTGTCTCTGTCACTCAGCTGACGGGGAGGTGGCCTTTACACAGTGTTAAACACTGTCTCTGTCACTCAGCTGGCGGGTCGGTGTGGCCTTTACAGTGTTAAATACTGTCTCTGTCACTCAGCTGACGGGTCGGTGTGGCCTTTACACAGTGTTAAACACTGTCTCTGTCACTCAGCTGACGGGTCGGTGTGGCCTTTACACAGTGTTAAATACTGTCTCTGTCACTCAGCTGACGGGTCGGTGTGGCCTTTACAGTGTTAAATACTGTCTCTGTCACTCAGCTGACGGGTCGGTGTGGCCTGTTTACAGACAGGTAACTAGCAGGGTCAGTCCTGTGTGATGACTGTTACAGACAGGTAACCAGTAGAGGTAGTCCTGTGTGATGACTGTTACAGACAGGTAACCAGTAGGGTCAGTCCTGTGTGATGACTGTTACAGACTAGTGACCAGTAGAGGTAGTCCTGTGTGATGACTGTTACAGACAGGTAACCAGTAGGGTCAGTCCTGTGTGATGACCGTTACAGACAGGTAACCAGTAGAGTCAGTCTTGTGTGATGACTGTTACAAACAGGTAACCAGTAGAGTCAGTTCTGTGTGATGGCCGTTACAGACAG